CGACAACGACATTCCGATTAATATGCAAAAATCTGTTTTCACTTGGAAGAATTATTATTTCAAAAGTTAATTGTAAGACTAATGATAGGTATACTGTTCGATGGAAAATAATAAAATCCGTTTTATTTTTTTTAATACTGAACTGCATAAAAGCTTTTCTTTTCTTATTCCGTTGATCTAGATATTTAAAACATTTTATAATAATAATATTCAGTATGTACGTTAGAACATATTTAACGTGTTTGAAGAAAACCGCCGCATGAATGGGTAATGTATACTGAAAAAGAGAAAAGGAAAGATATTTGCACTGTGTATTATACTTCTTGATAAATACATATTATGAAAGTGAAAATGGAGCAAGCAGACATCTCTGTAAAAAAGAAATTCCTCAAAAACGAGGAAAAATAAAACTCTTCATACAAGTAACCTGCCAATCTTATTTATTAATACTCGTTGAATCTATCGACAGAATAAATATCACCAACAATATCAAGTTTATGTCATTTTATCTTCAAACAACTGACTGAAATAGCAATTTCATCAACTAACGTTTAATTATCTTACACATTTGACAACCATTACAGAAAAAAACAACATTTAAAATTAAAATTTCACTGTACCACTATATCTACAATTTTCTCTCTCATGACATTTGAAATAAAATATAAAATATTTTAATTCATCTAACAACAGTAAATCAAAGAGTAAGCTAAGTGCGTCGTTACCACGAAGATATTTGACGAAAACTAGTATCGTCTGGCTTTAGATTAATCCAAGGCCGATCCTTGCCTTCTTTTTTGCAGCCTCCAAGGATCATCGTTATTAATAACTCGGCTGGGTTTCGCTGACACCCACGGTCACGAGATAGCTAGTTAACGAAAGAAAGTGCGATTGCTTAATCCATCATCGGATGAAGGTCACCCGTGATCGCGATAACGAGTTTTATTTACTGGTAAAAATATATTTAACATCGTTTATCGGGATAGTTATCAGCCAAAGACAGCGGTTATCAGCGTCGTTAGTCGTAAGGAAACTTCTACTGGATTTTCGAAAAATATTTATATTTCGTAAAAAGTAACTCGCCCATTGATATAATTCAATGGGACGGTTCGATTTGATTTTTGTAAAATTTTCTTAGCGTAAGGTCAAATTTTTTTTTACGTCAGAATAATTGTAAGTAATACGTTAAATTCAATTTTTTTTTTACGTCAGAATTTAAGTTAAAATCAGTTTTTTTTTTTACGTCAGAATAATTGTAAGTAATACGTCAAGTTCAATTGTGAATAATTTCCAAGCGATGACCTATCGAAAGCCAAAATGACTCCATTCTTTTGAATTCAGTAAATCTTACAATTCCACTAGTACAACATTTAAAGAAGAAATGTGAATTCATTTCTTGCAGAAAAAGATGACATAAATAATAGTAAATTTCCAGATAAATTATAAAATGCTTGTAACTTTACTTTCCAATTTTAGGCTTCACCCCAGTGTGATTTTTGAATGCTTCATGATCGAATCTTAGAATATTCAAACCTCGAATGGCTCAATCTTCTACATTCGTCAAATACAATTAACCAAAGAAAGCGACTGTCTATCAATATCTATTGTTAGTCGAGAAAATTTATTTTTCATGAGATATTCGAAAACGATAGGTGTAGGGACTTATGGGTACGAACGTTACTGGTCCATGAAATCGCCATCGATCAACCGGTCGAAGTGCGAGTTTGTCACTTCTGGATCGAGGGGCAATTAATTTTGGCGAACGACTTCGTGGATCGGACAGCGAAGCACGTAAGTAAACCAGCTGTCAAATCCGATTTCTGACGCGTTGTCGAGGATCTGAATTCATGCGAGGTCGTCAAGATTCCTCGATGATCAACCGACAATCAACCAAGATTTTATTTCAGACGACGGGAACGCGCTTGCATCGTCGTAAAGAAATCGGTAAAGAACACGCTTTGATAGAGCAATTAACTGGACTGCAAATTATTACACATTTATGAAGAAATGAGCACATTTTTGTAAAATATCGTGTAAAATATCGAAAGTAGAATACTTGTTATAATATTCAGTAACGAGAACGAATTCTTGTTTCACTTCCACTACTTTAGTCAGCTGCATGAAAATTGTATAGCAATGAACGTTCACGAAAGAAAACAAAAAAAATCCACGAACCGCGAAATAATGTTGTGATATTAGCAACGTCATTATCAGAACATATAATGTCTAATTAATAGTCACTTGGATTTTAGTATTGCATAATATTCCGTAATTAACGCTTTTCGTTGAATATCTCTTAATTTTTCCTGGTTTGGAAGAATGGTGGGATAATTCTTGAAATTGTAAAAACTAATTACGAAACTGTTCTACGCGTATGTGTCAATTGCCAGTATATTACAATATAAAATTTCGCGGACGTTGTACGCGATTTAAAACCCGCGAGGGGATTTAATTCGTTACTGAAATGTTACTCGAGAAGAATTATTTTAAATAACTTCCATTAGCTGTCCAGTGAGACTCGACGTGACGATAAGTTGTAGTCTATCCTGTTTTGACTTTAACATTAAGAATATTTACTGTTTCAAGATAAAATACTATCAAGTTGCATTATATATAGCATTTTAAGATTTCAAAAGGAATAATGACATTCCAAGTAAGATCATTTTTATTTACAATTGCAAAATTTTAAAATATCGAACAGGCAGTTATACTTAAAAATGAAATGAATCTCGTTCGGAGAGAAAAATTTGCCTCCGTATCTCTGTATAGCCTACGTGTGCGTAGAAAAATGTGTCGTTAAAAAAAATCGAGTTCACCGATTACAAATAGAAGAAATGCGAATTTCACGAGCACGTTTGGCGGATCATTGACCGGATCGTCTGTTTATGCGTGTTTCTTGCTGGCAGATCGTTCGTTCCAATCACGTGAGAGCAGCACGTTTCGCGTTCGACTGAACCATCGACGTGCAAACCTTCCTGCTCGGCGAGATGTTGCGATTCAAACGGATTTGCTACTGCCAACTATATGGGCGAACTTTGATCATGGGAACACCTTTTGAATCGTTCTGCAGTTACAAGGACTAATTACTCGCTTTCAACATCCCCTAATCCCACCATGGAAACACGCGAAGTATGTCACGTTAAATTACAAATGAATGTTGCAACATATGTGACGAAAAATAAAGTCGAAGAATTACAGTTAGTTGAGAGCTGATCGAAAATTTTCACAGATTATGAATATTCGAACTTCGCGACGGTGCTGGCGGATCGATCCACCGAAAAGCTTCTCGCTGGAAACAAGATAAACACGGAGCACGTCGCGACGGAATGCCTACGACTTACGAGTATTCGAACTTTAAGCTATTCGGAGACGCTTGTACTACGTGACATCGACGCTACCGTAATATCTACTCGAAGGGAAAACGGCAACCTCGAGTCTATCGGTTTGGTTAATTATTTTCATGCAAGATTTTGCGACGAGCTCTTACCACAGGGGAACTTAATGGAAAATTCGCGTTAGATCAAATCAGTCTGAGAAAATATTTGACGAGATATTGTAACGAGTATCGAGAACATTTGAATGTTGGCAATTATGAAAAGTGTTTCAGTTATTAGCACTCATAGAGATTAGGTTTTTTTCTTTTACATGCTACCTGTGATATTTCAATTTATATTTATATCTAGAAAATTTAGTCCGCAAATACAATCGAGATATTGCAATCGTTGGAATATTATTCGTAACATCAGGACAGAGGTAAAATTCTTCGTGGAAGTACGATTACTTCCAGATAATTTGCCTAGCGTAGCATAACTGGAGAAAGATCTACGACGATAGACTTTTTTTCACGACTTAATGTCCCAGAAGAAATAAAGAATGATATACGAAACGTGTTGCAATGAAACACAGTTGAATTTAACTTTAAATTCATATATTAATACGAATTGGTTATTCGTTCTCTTTTTAAATTCACATTCATACAACATTTAGATAGTTTAGATCTTACGTGTTATGCTTCAAATTAGCGGGGAAGATCACAAGGGCGAGAAGCCCTTCCTCACAGAGAAAAGAAAAACATTTGTCCTTAAAACGCTGTTAACATCGTAGTAGCCTACGAGGAAACACAACATGCTCCAAAAAGTTGAAACCTGCTCGCGATAACGAGGACTATACTCCGTTATAACCCCTTTTTTTCCGCCGAGTAAAAGAATTTTTCGACGATCAATGCGTCGAGGAGCACAGCATGCGTCGACCACGCAATACATTCGGTGACACGTGTACCACAAACATAAACTGACTTGTTAACGAGATACGATAACGTTAAGCTGGATAATAAAAAAAAAAAGTAGCCACGTTCTATCGTCACGTCATCCGATCTGTAAGCGTGGCATAATGATGGAGTGTCACTGACCTCGAATCGAACCATATCACTAAATTAACTTACCAAAAAGATATGAAAAAGATTTTATCATCGTGTGGAGAATTTTATGCCTGTTACGTGTAAAGTGTCTATTAACCTTGAATTTAGCTGGTTGGCATACCACCGATATCAAACTAACCTCTTAACAAGATAAGAAAAAGACGACGAGAAAATAAATCACATTCCTATCGTCGTGTGCAATTCAATATAAAATCTATATCTATACCTCTGTTACATGTAACAGTATAATAGATAACAGAATAGTAGTATTATACAGTGGCAAAGTGTCACTGACCTTGAATCAAACTCGTTAGCATATCCACTGATGTCGAACTAACCTCTGACAAAATACGAAAAGTAAATCGTATTCTATCTCGTCATATGGAATTGAATGTAAAACCTATCTCTGTCTCTCTCTCTGTTACGTATAAACGGAGTATAGTGGCAAAGTGTCACTGACCTTGAGAATCGAACTAACCTCTCAACGAGATACGAAAAAAAAGACGACAAAAAGAAATAAATCGTATTCAACCATCGTGTGCGGAATCCGACGTGAAACCTCTGTCTCTGTTACGTACGAGCATCAAAGTGTCACTGACCTTGAGTCAAACTTGGTACCATCCACCAGCGTGCCGGTATAGTGCATCGTCAGCTGGTCGCCGATCTTCGATTTGCCCTCGCATACCTCCGGTACGTACAGCTTCTCGACCTTCAGTCCCGACTGATTCTGATCGGCGTGTGCAAGAACAAGAACGCTAACGAACACGAGAAGCACCGTACGGCACGTCGCGAGCACGACACCCGCGTTGTTATTTACGAAACGGACAGCCATGATTCGGTACGTTCGCTGGCGAATGCTCGTGAGCAACTGAGTCGGTGTAGCGCTCCACTCGGCCGAGCTACCTTCGTTTCCCACTCCGTGTAGCCGCTGGCTGCGCTGTACTTCGCTCCGAGATCAGGCGAACGCGTTGGAGAAGGACGAAGAGCATCCCGTGCCGCCACATTGCGCCGTCTCATTGGCCCCACGAAATATGTAGGTCTCTGCCTCGTCCTCTTTTCCACAACATCCTGTCTCTCTTTCACTCTCCCGTTCACTCGCCTCTCTCCTCTAACCCTTTGCCTATCTTTCACTCTCGCGCGTTCCACGAGTCCACTCTCTCGTCTCTCCTTTTCCATCCTTGCCGTTTCTTTCTTTCTCTTTCTCTCTGTCTCTCTCTCTCTCTCTCAGACACGCGTCAGTCCTTCCTGTCTCTTCCTTCGCTTCTCTTCGGTTCCCCAAACGTCGACCTTCCTTTCTTATTGCACGCATGCCGACCGTGACTTTCTTCGAATCCATCTGGTCCCTTTGGATAACCTCCTTCTTTTTTCTCGCGGTTCACCAAAACGTCTTTCGAATTTCTTCTGAACGAAGCAACCTCGCGTCTCGTGACATCCTCCTCGCACGGAGTCTCTTATTCAGGTCACTTTGTAATTTGGCCTACGAGTTTGGCAGAGTTTCTTGCTCCTGCAAGTAAGGTGTTTGAGCGTCGTTAGCGGCAGTGCATGTGTTGGTTAAGGTGTCTTTGAAAATACTTACTGTTGGATGAGATCGTGTTAGATCGTCACGTTAAGGAATGATTTTGTGAACGTGACACTTCCTTTCTTTGTTGTACTGAGGCAATAAATGTTTAATTTCTGCAAGTATACTGTGATACTTGAAATTATATATATATGTGTGCATTGGTACTGTTTTGGAAAATATCGTGTTATACAGAATTATAAAACGTGAGATTATAAAAATGTAGAAAATAATACTTTGTCAGACTAAAATAATTTTATTTAAATATTTATAAATTTTAATTGAACGTGCATCACTCGAGCAAGCAGTATCTAAACTGACATAAAATGTCATTTTTCAAATATAATTTTTAATGGTTTAGATCCTTCAAAATGTATTTAATTATTTCCACATGATTCGGTATAATTTTCCCAAATTTAAATTCACATAAATTCCAAATTTGTTAACTTTAAATTTCAGAAATTCTTGGAACGGAGCTGCAAGTTACAGCGTGGAAAATTTATTTCGAATTATTAATTTAAAACTGCGATACGCTACATAACAAGAATATATAATTTCATAAATTAACAATTATCGCGTACTGTAGTTGAAATACAATATAGGGGCAATATATTGTGGTAACAATATATATTAGTTACAATAGTGAAACTTCAAAATTGATTGGCGACTAACTTTTACTATTTGACATCTAAACTCCCCGTTGCACATGATGTAGGACGATTATGGCATTACCACATAATACTGGTATTATTCAAACCAGTATCACATTATATGGTACTACAGAGGATTATGTCAACCGATCGATTTTAAACTACGGAGTATCACGGCTTACAGACGCCATTCTCCAAATTATTACATGACGAAATCTAAATGAGGAAATCACACGATCGCATGAATCATTGAAGAAACGAATCTAACAATTAAAATGTTCGTTTTCTTTCATATTACTTTTCTCCCAATGAAATCGTTCCACTGTAATTACTCGAGGTAAAGTAGATGATGTTCAATGCAAAATTCTAACACCGTTCTTTTAACTAGCAACAAGCTAACAATATTTGCAAGCAATATTTTTTAGAAACAAGCAAGCAATATTATATTAATCTTGTAAGCAATATTATATTAATCTTGCAAGCAATATTTTAAAAACAAAGATCGTCGATGGTATCGTGTCAGAAATACCGAATGACACAAGTATCGCTTTCGGTGCAACGAAACTGCAGAAAGAAACAGCTTCTCTCTAAAGTTTCTCAAATACGAGAGCTCGCTAAAAACGTTAACGAAAAGATGAACGAGTCGTGGCAGGGTGAAATGGTATTGTACGAAAAAAGAAAAAGAATAATAAAAAGATAATAATAAACCCTGTTTCATTTCGTTGTACGAGAAACGACCCGGAATATCATCGTAGCTTAGACTTGACTGCTTGTTTTCTCCAGAAGTTTCAACCTTCCGCGCGCAACTTTTACCTAAGACGTCAAAGAAAAACAAACTGCGTTGATGTTTGTCTCTGCTAACAATTCTGCCGGTTCCCCGGTCGCTGTCGTAATTAATTTCCCTTTACTTGTCCACTCGTTTCTCAACCTTTCCACCCCTTTTCGTATCTCGCCCTACTTACCCCGTTCGCTGGCAGCCTCACGCAGCATCTTCCAACCTTCAAACCCCTTTCAAACCTCTCCTCTTCTTCTCGAACGTAATTTTTCTTATTTTTTTTTTTCTCCCTGAAATTTTTTTCACTTTGGCGACGCGCAATAGCGTCACTCTGTCGCGTTACATCGTTTCGTTTTTTCTTTTTTTATTTTCTTCTCTCTTTCCTTGTGTTTTCTTGTTCGTCTCTCCATGCACTTGCGATGACAGTGACAAAAAGGAAATTTTCGAGTTATCGGTAAAGACATCACTCAACGAGTTATTACATAAAAATCTAATTCGTTTATCCACAGAATATTACTCTTCTGACTAAATATTGATAAGATAAAAAAAAGCTTTCATTTGATAATTTCTAGACTGCGAATTTTCACTTCATATTTTCAGAATACAGATCAAAAAGTGAAAACGTATCTTCCTCAAACGTCGATTCCTTCGACAAAGTTTCAAATTGTTTGTAACTCTGCAGTTCATTAACAAGTCATACATTTCCGAGTTGTGTCGCAAGTACGAAATATCATTGCGATACACATCACGCGTTGTCTTTTCCCGTAAGTTCTCTTCGGCTTCTTCCGCCAGAGCGTCCATTTCCAACCCTTTCTCTTTCACTCAGTTCACCGTCCTACTTTCTTCGTTCGCCAGGCCGTGTCGCAGCGGCAGCCAAGCGGATTCGAGCGTCGCGATACGTCTCTTCTCGCAGAGAACACGCGTGCACTAATGCCACTACCAACCAGCCCGACGTTCTCCAAAGTTACACGCGTATCTCGCGGCTCGCGGCTCGCGAACGCTCTGCTGCGTCTCGTCGCTCGCCGGCAAGAAATCCACCCTACCGATTAACGAGATTTCGCGAATTTTACGCGAAAATTAGGCGCACGAGCATCACTCGTCGCGCGCTCGACTTGTTTTTTAGAATTTCACGGCACGACGGCACGATCTCTTTCGAGTTTCCCTCGAGTTTTCAATTGGCGCGCTGTTTTGACACTCGTGCCGAGAGCACACTCCAAGAGGGTGCGTTGAAATGTAATGTACGGGCAAGGGACGGGTAATGCGCTTAGCGTTTTATATGAAATGTTAATAGACGAAGAGGCTCAAGATTATATCAAAGTTGCTAGAAACTACTGGTCGGAAACTTTGAAGAATTATTTTGTTTCAACTGTCTGGAACCTCAGTTCGCAGTAATATTCAGCGTCTGGATAAGGACTGACTCTATGTTTAAGAATAAAATATTTTCTACAAATTTTGTAAACTAAATGAAACGTTGGAAATCAAATTACAGAAAGAATAATATATTATCTACCTTAATTACAGATTGTAGTAATGTAATCATAGGTACTTTTCACTTTGAAATTTCATATTTCCAAAAAATGTGAGGGAATTTTTAAATAAATAAGTAATAGAGGAAATAAACACGAGGCACACAAACTTGAGTTTGCGTCGTGAAAAATTTCAATGTCTTTTTTCAGTGTCTTTCAATTAATTGTTACGTAAGGAAGATGCTTCCTGAATATTTATAATTAATTTTCTTACATTATACAAACCTTGAAATAACTAATATATAGCAAGAGGTTATTTTAATCTACATGAATCAATATCAAATTTGCATACGTTGTAAATACACGTGGAGAAACAAAAACAATAAAAAAGCATGTACATACATATTTATCAATGTGTTTTCGAGGGAAAGCAATATACATATATATATATATATTTAAGGTAAATATTTTGAAAGCTTTTAATTAATATTCATGGAAAAATGTTTCGCAGCAAATGATGCAAACTACTTTATCATTCTCATTTTGTTGGAAAGCAAACGTATTACATGGCATTCATTTTGTCCTGCTGAATTCACATTCCATCAAATTATCGAATATAAATTTGCGGAGCAAATCATCTACTGATAATTGTCAAATTTCATATCACGTAAAATAAATTCGTTTATATCGTAAATAATTTAGAATATTCCTTAACGAGAATTTTATTCACGTTGAGGATAATTTCGTTTTGAATGTCAATAAAAATATTAACAAAGACAACGGCATTATACAAATCTAAATGTATTATTCGATAATCGGGGCAATATTTATCATCAGATAATTTTACAATATTACACGTTCAAATATTAAAATTATTGATATCTTCATGTGTAATAATTTCGTGATCTGTTGTTTCAGATAATAATGTGACTTTAATACATTTTAAATAATTGCTGTGTAAGATCGTCTTTTGAAAAAATATATACAAAAATAAGTCCTCCGTTCAACTAATTATTCAATTTCAAAACCATGCAATTGTTTTCAGAGTAATTTTTTTTTTTTTTTAAATAAACAACCCACGATATAACTGAACATCTTGCACGTGCGTACGTTGTTTACAGTTTTCACAAATGTATGTTACTATTGACCAGCGGTATCCAAGTTTCCAATTATTCTGAATAAACACGAAAAAACGATGGTCAAAAACGGAAGAAAAATTCCGGCTGCAAATATTGGAATACGACCACTATGAAAGCAAGAGTATACCTATCTAAATATTCCGCGGTTCTAATCCCCGGAAATACTACTTTTTATTTGCTCATCGATGTGCACGATCGTTTCAAATTGCACATTCGAATCGCGGGGATTTCATTCGAATCCCATGTTAAATTAAAACGTTCGTCACGAACGTTTCTCGCAGGACCAGTTTTTATTGTCCTTCTTTTTTTTTTCTCGACACAGTCACAGTGT